AGAGAGAGAGAGAGAGAGAGAGAGAGAGAGAGAGCGAGAGAGAGAGAGAGAGAGAGAGAGAGAGAGAGAGAGAGAGAGAGAGAGAGAGAGAGAGAGAGAGAGAGAGAGAGAGAGAGAGAGAGAGAGAGAGAGAGCGAGAGAGCGAGAGCGAGAGAGATGAAATTTAAATCTACATAATAATAAAACACATTTCCCTGCCCTACACGTTAAACCTCGGCTATCAGACCACTGCATGCTCTATAAATCTTACCAGTTACACTAACTCTACAACGCACCAGCCCGAAGCCTACAAGCGTTACATATAGCAACAACCCAAGCCTATAAAACCTTTCCTTATATTACCAATCAAAGTTCTCCTATTCTCCAAAATTCGCCTAGTACACAATCACAAAAATATATCAAACCGTGTCATAACAGAACCGAGAACCTATAAACCCTGCCTATCACACCATTCCAAATTCAGTAACCCCCAGTGGGAACAGTATCCAAGAATATCGTCGGTTATCAGTCAGACTTGCACTCCAGCGGCCCCCTGCGTAAATGATAGCAGAATGGTTATCATAATAACCGCTATTATCATAAGCACAAGCACATTTTCAATAGTACTGTTGCTGCTGTTATCGTTACTGACAACTTTACAAATCAGTCAGTAAATCTTACCGAATTACTCAACCTCCGACAGCTTGAGTTGGTTGTGACAGCCGTCGGCAGATAAGATAATTTTCTGCCCGCCTCCGCCTCGTTTTCTCCCCAGTTTGAATACATTTGCATAAATGTGAACTGGTTGCCTTCTCCTATAACAACATTGAAAACCCATCGGAAACAGAAAACGGTAATGGAAACAGAAAACGGTAATAGAAACGGAAAACGGTAACGGAAAAAGAAAACGCAACGGAAAAAAACGTTCGTTTATTTTTGCAATAAGTGTGTGTGTGTGTGTGTGTGTGTGTGTGTGTGTGTGTCTGTATTCATCTAGTTGTATTCACCTAGTTGTGTTTACGGGGGTTGAGCTCTTGCTTTTTCGGCCCGCCTCTCAACTGTCAATCAACTGTTACTAACTACTTTTTTTCACCACACAGACACACATCCCAGGAAGCAGCCCGTGACAACTGACTAACTCCCAGGTACCTATTTACTGCTAGGTAACAGGTGCATTAGGGTGAAAGAAACAGCCCATTGTTTCTCGCCGGCGTCCGGAATCGAACCCGGGACCACAGGATCACGCGTCCAGCGTGCTGTCCGCTCACCTACCGGCCCCCCGGTGTGTGTATTCCTTTGTGTATGTAAATCGATACACGTACATACATGTTAGTTGCCCAATATGTTCCTCGGGTAATAAATTTACATTACGAGGAATAAAAGATTCAACAAGTGAGAGGTGTGTTTGGCCCGGGTGTCGCTCTCATAATGAGATCAGCAGTCAAGGGCGGGGACTTACAAGCGGTACGAGAGTTGTCACGTTGCCACTACCGTGTTGCCAGACGACGAGCCAACACGCTAATTACGGGGTTCGCTAAGGGAAATATTTATGTTATAGATTGTTATGGTCATAATAGTGCTATGTAAACATAACATTGCAATGTCTGCTGTTGCAGCGTGCAAGTGCGCCCTCTACCGGACACTAGGGGGAGGCGGGGTAATACATACACAGGTTGTTGACCTGTTGGTCCAGTAACGCTCTGGTCAGGGCTTCATACACAGAATTATACTTCTTGTTGTATATATATAATAGATTTTACTTGTTCCGTTAAGTGTGTTAGGGATCAGCGTGTATTTGAGGGTGAGAGACTACGGAACACTGGAGCCATGGTGATCCTGACAGTATATATGGTTTAAACCTTTGACCTAACCTAACCTTCCCTGAGTCTGACCTAATCTTCCCTAGGGACTGACCTAACCTTCCCTGGGACTGACCTAACCTTCCCTGGGGACTGACCTAATCTTCCCTGGGGACTGACCTAACCTTCCCTGGGGACTGACCTAATCTTCCCTGGGGACTGACCTAACCTTCCCTGGGTCTGACCTAACCTTCCCTGGGTCTGACCTAACCTTCCCTGGGTCTGACCTAACCTTCCCTGGGGTCTGACCTAACCTTCCCTGGGTCTGACCTAACCTTCCCTGGGGTCTGACCTAACCTTCCCTGGGTCTGACCTAACCTTCCCTGGGTCTGACCTAACCTTCCCTGGGTCTGACCTAACCTTCCCTGGGGTCTGACCTAACCTTCCCTGGGGTCTGACCTAACCTTCCCTGGGTCTGACCTAACCTTCGTGTGTGTGTGTGGTGTGTGAGTGTGTGATTTGTGTGTGTGTACTCACCAGTGTGTGTGTGTGTGTGTGTGTGTGTTGGTGTGTGTATATATACTCACCTATATGTGCTTGCAGGATCGAGCATTGACTCTTGGATCCCGCCTTTCTAGCTATCGGTTGTTTACAGCAATGACTCCTGTCCCATTTCCCTATCATACCTAGTTTTAAAAGTATGAATAGTATTTGCTTCCACAACCTGTTCCCCAAGTGCATTCCATTTTTCTACTACTCTCACGCTAAAAGAAACTTCCTAACATCTCTGTGACTCATCTGAGTTTCCAGTTTCCACCCATGTCCCCTCGTTCTGTTATTATTACGTGTGAACATTTCATCTATTTCCACTTTGTCAATTCCCCTGAGTATTTTATATGTCCCTATCATATCTCCTCTCTCCCTTCTTTTCTCTAGTGTCGTAAGGTTCAGTTCCTTCAGCCGCTCTTCATATCCCATCCCTCGTAGCTCTGGGACAAGCCTCGTCGCAAACCTCTGAACCTTCTCCAGTTTCTTTATGTGTTTCTTCAGGTGGGGGCTCCATGATGGCGCGGCATACTCTAAGACGGGTCTCACGTAGGCAGTGTAAAGCGCCCTAAAAGCTTCCTCATTTAGGTTTCTGAATGAAGTTCTAATTTTCGCCAGTGTAGAGTACGCTGCTGTCGTTATCCTATTTATATGTGCCTCAGGAGTTAGATTAGGTGTCACATCCACTCCCAGGTCTCTTTCTCGAATCGTTACAGGTAGGCTGTTCCCCTTCATTGTGTACTGTCCCTTTGGTCTCCTGTCACCTGATCCCATTTCCATAACTTTACATTTACTGGTGTTAAACTCCAGTAGCCATTTCCCTGACCATCTCTGCAGCCTGTTTAAGTCCTCTTGGAGGATCCTACAATCCTCGTCTGTCACAACTCTTCTCATTAATTTTGCGTCATCTGCAAACATTGACATGTATGATTCCACTCCTGTAAACATATCATTTACGTAAATTAGAAAGAGGATTGGGCCCAGCACCGATCCTTGAGGTACTCCACTTGTTACTGTTCGCCAGTCCGACTTTTCGCCCCTTACCATTACCCTCTGGCTCCTTCCTGTTAGGTAGTTCTTCACCCATACTAGGGCCTTTCCGCTTACTCCTGCCTGCTAACCTTACCTTCCCTGGGTCTGACCTAACCTTCCCTGGGTCTGACCTAACCTTCCCTGGGTCTGACCTAACCTTCCCTGGGTCTGACCTAACCTTCCCTGGGGTCTGACCTAACCTTCCCTGGGGTCTGACCTAACCTTCCTTCTTACACCTGGTCTTACACCTGTGTGTGTGTGTTGTGTGTGTGTGTGTGTGTGTGTGTGTGTGTGTGTGTGTGTGTGTGTACTCACCTAATTGTGCTTGCGGGGGTTGAGCTTTGGCTCTTTGGTCGGTGTGTGTGTGTATGTGTGTGTGTGTGTATGTGTGTGTGTGTGTGTTTGTGTGTGTGTGTGTGTGTGTGTGTGTGTGTGTGTGTGTGTGTGTGTGTGTGTGTGTGTGTGTGTGTGCGTGCCGCTGCTCACCAAAAGGAGTGAGCTTCCATTCTTCTCTCTGGGTCACGTCTTTTTCAAATTGCCACCTGTGTTTCCTTATTCCATTTCCCGTCTTTTGGTGCAAACTGTTTTAACACTTGGTGCCTCTGTGTACGTGTGTACATGCCTGGGTGTACGTGTGTACGTGCCTGGTTGTACGTGTGTACATGCCTGGTTGTACGTGTGTACGTGCCTGGGTGTACGTGTGTACATGACTGAGTGTACGTGCGAATTGCTTGTATATATAAATTGATTGCTTGGAGGTGTAAATTGAATTACTGTGTACAAGGATGTTTCTCTCTTACACCTGGTCTTCTCTCTGTTTAACGTGGTCAGCGGTGTCATAGTCGGCTTGATCTGTGGGCGCTGGGACGTGGCCTGTGGCGGGAGGCAGGTGACACGACCTGACACAACGACCCCTCTGACACGAGCTGACACAACGACCCCTCTGACACGACCTGACACAACGACCCCTCTGACACGACCTGTCACAACGACCCCTCTGACACGACCTGACACAACGACCCCTCTGACACGACCTGTCACAACGACCCCTCTGACACGACCTGACATAACGACTTCCATGACACGACCTGTCACAACGACCCCTCTGACACGACCTGTCACAACGACCCCTCTGACACGACCTGACACAACGACCCCTCTGACACGACCTGACACAACGACCCCTCTGACACGACCTGTCACAACGACCCCTCTGACACGACCTGTCACAACGACCCCTCTGACACGACCTGACACAACGACTTCCATGACACGACTGTGGTGAAATAACCTGCGGTATGACCTCGGCTCAGCGCCAAAACCTAACTTTTGGTAAATATGATACGACCCCCCCCCTCTCTCTCTCTCTCTCTCTCTCCTTTCCTCCCAATAACCTCCCCCTCCTTCCCCTCTTCCCTCCCATTCCTCTCTACCTCTCTCCCTCATTCTTCCTCTCCATTAATCCTTATCCATTACTCAGAATGCAAACAAAGGTCCCTAGGGTAGTAGGTGAGATGGGGACCAACATTGGGATGGAGTGAGGGAGTGAGGGTGGTAGGTGAGGTTTAGGGTGGGATGGGATGGGATGGGGGTGCTCTTGCTTTGCTTTGCTTGCTTGCTTGGCCTCACCCCTGCTTGTCTTACCTTGGCCGCTTCTTTAATCGCTCTCTGGGACTGTCCAACTTGCTGTCTGGCGTCTTAAGACAATCCAGATTCAACCTTGCCATGCTTAAGAAAAGACAAACGCACGTCTTAAAGAGGAAGACACACAAGAAAAGAAAGGGGGTGAGGGAGGGAGAGAAAAATAACGTTCAAAGGTCAAATGTTAAAGTTCAGAGGTCAAAGGTCAAATATCTGTGGTCAACAGTGGTCACTTGTCACTAAAATGGTAAACAAACCAAGGATCAGTTTTTCAGAGGTCAAAGGTTACGTGCAGTAATTAAATTAGAAACAGAGTTTAAAATGGTAAACCCACTTGTGAAAAAGGAGAAATGACCAATATTAAATATAGAGACAGGTTAAATTACAGGTGCAATAAATTGGGGGGAAAAACCCAGACGAGTCTAGTTGTTAAAAAGACAATGTTAAAAGTTAGCTTAAAGTATTAAATCCATCGTGCAAAGATCACACATGAATATAAGGAGAGACGGATAAGATTAAATGAAAATTATAACACATCACAAAATCCATTTATCCGACATACGTCAGACATTCAAAACATTAATTGGGAAAAAATTTGGCAAATTGAAATAATATGAATTCTGAGAGAAGAGAAAATGTAATCTAGAAATGTTGTCATAAAACGCTCAGTGACGCTAAAAAATAGAAAACGGAAGACAAAAATATGGAAAAGGCAGGAAGGAAATAAGGAAAAAAAAATCACTTGAGGGAAAGGGTCAGGTCATGGGGAAGGGGGTGGGGTCATGGGGAAAGGGGTTGGGGGCTCAGGGCGGATGGCTTGT